TCGCTTACATCGGAACTTATCAGCAGTTATGTTTTCCTTCAGACAACATATCCTGATAGGACTGTAACTCTACTCTCAAAGCAGCTAATACAGATATGCATCTGTTGTTCACAGATACTGTACCTTGAAAAAAATGGGCCTCACAATGGGCCCGTAGGATCTCGTCACGGTATTTCTGTGCATTCAAATTGCCAATCGATAAAAGGCAATTGTGTTCGTTGTTCGTAGCTTATGCCTGCCCATACCATAACCCAACCGCCACCATGGGGCACTTTGTTCACAACGTTGACATCAGCTTGGGTTTTGCAGTTAACTGTTATTCTATCATTAATGTGTAGGCTACCTCGTGCATGTTCAGGTAACTGCCAAAATAAAGGAAACACTTGAGTAAATGTATATTGAAAGCAGGTGCTTCCACACAGGTAATTAAGATATTAACATCCCATAATGCTTAGGTTCATGTATACAAATGCACAATTTCCCATTACTTTGGCTACCATGGCTAGAAGAGCTCTCAGTGACTTTGAAAGAGGAGTCTCAAAGGAGCATAGGGGTTTTAAAGGGTGGGTGTCAGTCACCAGATCTCAACCCAATTGATTCTGGAGCGGTGCCTGAGACAGCGTTTTCCACCACCATCAACGAAACACCAAATGATGGAATTTATTGTAACATGGTATTGCATCCCGCCAATAGAGTTCCAGACACTTGCAGAATTTATGCCAAGACGCATTAAAGCTGTTCTGGCGGCTCGTGGTGGCCCAACACCCTATTAAAGACACTATGTTTGAGTTTATTTTGGCAGTCTCAGTGCCTTCGGAAAGTATTCAGACCCCTTGACCTTTTCCAAATGTTGTTACGTTACAGCCTTATTCTAAAATGGATTAAATAAATAAAAATCCTCAGCAATCTACACACAATACCCCATAATGAGTAAGCGAAAACAGGTTTTTAGAAATTTTAGCACATTTATTAAAATAAAAAACAGAAATACCTTATTTACATAAGTATTCAGACCCTTTGCTATGAGACTCGAAATTGAGCTCAGGTGCATCCTGTTTCCATTGATCATCCTTGAGATGTTCCTACAACTTGATTGGAGTCCACCTGTGGTAAATTCAATTGATTGGACATGATTTGGAAAGGCACACGACTATCTATAAAACGTCCCACAGTTGACAGCGCATGTCAGAGCAAAAACAAAGCCATGAGGTCGAAGGAATTGTCCGTAGAGCTCCGAGACAGGATTGTGTCGAGGCACAGATCTGGGGAAGGGTACAAAAAATGTCTGCAGCATTTAAGGTCCCCAAGAATACAGTGCCCTCCATCATTCTTCAATGGAAGAAGTTTGGATAACACCAAGACTCTTCCTAGAGCTGGCCGCCCGGCCAAACTGAGCAATCGGGGGAGAAGGGCCTTGGTCAGGGAGGTGACCAAGAACCAGATGGTGACTCTGACAGAGCTCTAGAGCTCCTCTGTGGAGATGGGAGAACCTTCCAGAAGGACAACCATCTCTGCAGCACTCAACCAATCAAGCCTTTATGGTAGAGTGGCCAGACGGAAGACACTCCTCAGTAAAAGGCTTGGAGTTTGCCAAAAGTCACCTAAAGACTTTCAGACCATGAGAAACAAGATTCTCTGGTCTGATAAAACTAAGATTGACAAAGGTTCACCTTCCAACAGGACAACGACCCTAAGCACACAGCCAAGACAACGCAGGAGTGGCTTCGGGACAAGTCTCTGAATGACCTTGAGTGGCCCAGCCAGAGCCCGGACTTGAACCCGATCGAACATCTCTGGAGAGACTTGAAAATAGCTGTGCAGAAACGCTCCCCATCCAACCTGACAGAGCTTGAGAGGATCTGCAGAGAAGAATGGGATAAACTCCCCAAATACAGGTGTGCCAAGCTTGTAGCGTCATACCCAAGAAGACTCGAGGCTGTAGTCGCTGCTTCAACAAAGTACTGAGTAAAGGGTCTGAATACTTATGTAAATGTGATATTTCAGTTATTTTTGATGTGATTTTTTTTTTTTTAATTGATGAGGGGGAAAAAACGATTTAATCCATTTTAAAATAAAGGCTGTAACGTAACAAAATGTGGATAAAGTCAAGAGGTCTGAATACTTTCCGAAGGTACTGTATCTGTATGTTGTAGATATTACATTTACATTTAAGTCATTTAGCAGACGCTCTTATCCAGAGCGACTTACAAATTGGTGCATTCACCTTATAGCCAGTGGGATAACCACTTTACAATATGTTATTTTTTTCTTTCTTTGGGGTGGGGTAAGGGGGGGTAGAAGGATTACTTTATCCTATCCCAGGTATTCCTTAAAGAGGTGGGGTTTCAAGTGTCTCCGGAAGGTGGTGAGTGACTCCGCTGTCCTGGCGTCGTGAGGGAGCTTGTTCCACCATTGGGGTGCCAGAGCAGCGAACAGTTTTGACTGGGCTGAGCGGGAACTGTGCTTCCACAGAGGTAGGGGGGCCAGCAGGCCAGAGGTGGATGAACGCAATGCCCTCGTTTGGGTGTAGGGACTGATCAGAGCCTGAAGGTATGGAGGTGCCGTTCCCCTCACAGCTTCGTAGGCAAGCACCATGGTCTCGTAGTAGATGCGAGCTTCAACTGGAAGCCAGTGGAGTGTGCGGAGGAGCGGGGTGACGTGAGAGAACTTGGGAAGGTTGAACACCAGACGGGCTGCGGCATTCTGGATGAGTTGTAGGGGTTTAATGGCACAGGCAGGGAGCCCAGCCAACAGCGAGTTGCAGTAATCCAGACGGGAGATGACAAGTGCCTGGATTAGGACCTGTGCCGCTTCCTGTGTAAGGCAGGGTCGTACTCTCCGAATGTTGTAGAGCATGAACCTACAGGATCGGGTCACCGCCTTGATGTTAGCGGAGAACGACAGGGTGTTGTCCAGGGTCACGCCAAGGCTCTTTGCACTCTGGGAGGAGGACACAACGGAGTTGTCAACCGTGATGGCGAGATCATGGAACGGGCAGTCCTTCCCTGGGAGGAAGAGCAGCTCCGTCTTGCCGAGGTTCAGCTTGAGGTGGTGATCCGTCATCCACACTGATATGTCTGCCAGACATGCAGAGATGCGATTCGCCACCTGGTTATCAGAAGGGGGAAAGGAGAAGATTAGTTGTGTGTCGTCTGCGTAGCAATGATAGGAGAGGCCATGTGAGGATATGACAGAGCCAAGTGACTTGGTGTATAGCGAGAATAGGAGCGTGCCTAGAACTGAGCCCTGGGGGACACCAGTGGTGAGAGCACGTGGTGCGGAGACAGATTCTCGCCACGCCACTTGGTAGGAGCGACCTGTCAGGTAGGACGCAATCCAAGAGTGAGCCGCGCCGGAGATGCCCAACTCGGAGAGGGTGGAGAGGAGGGTCTGTAAAGCATATACAGTAAAACTATGTCCACCACCAATTAAAAAGATGCTGACAAAAAATTTTATTGTCAACATTTGAATCCTCTAAACTAACAGAGACATAGGAGGTTATCCAGTTTCACATGAGAAGTGATTCCCATCAGATCAGGCAGACAGACTCTATAAAAGCCTGATGTTGTTTCGCTCCATTGACAGACACATCAGATGTTGTTAATGGGGGCGGGGGGGGGGGGGGGGGGGGGGGGGGGGGGGGGGAGAAAGAGGTCATTCTGACTGAAGAGAACAGTGTCTTTAATGAAAAATAACAATAAACAGTCGGAGGAGATTACTTCCGGGACAACAGATGAGACAAGCAACTTGTACAATAAATGAAAAATAAGCAAACACATTTGGTCTTCGCCAAAAGGCATGTGGGAGACTCCCCAAACATATGGAAGAAGGTACTCTGGTCAGATGAGACTAAAATTGAGCTTTTTGGCCATCAAGGAAAACGCTATGTCTGGCGCAAACCCAACACCTCTCATCACCCCGAGAACACCATCCCCACAGTGAAGCATGGTGGTGGCAGCATCATGCTGTGGGGATGTTTTTCCATCGGCAGGGACTGGGAAACTGGTCAGAATTGAAGGAATAATGGATGACGCTAAATACAGGGAAATTCTTGAGGGAAACCTGTTTCAGTCTTCCAGAGATTTGAGACTGGGACGGAGGTTCACCTTCCAGCAGGACAAGCATACTGCTAAAGCAACACTTGAGTGGTTTAAGGGGAAACATTTATTAAATGTCTTGGAATGGCCTAGTCAAAGCCCAGACCTCAATCCAATTGAGAATCTGTGGTATGACTTAAAGATTGCTGTACACCAGCGGAACCTATCCAACTTGAAGGAGCTGGAGCTCATACCCCAAGATACTTGCAGCTGTAATTGCTGCAAAAGGTGGCTCTACATAGTATTGACTTTGGGGGGCGGCAACAAAATAGGACAAATGCCAAGGGGGGTGAATACTTTCGCAAGCCACTGTGCTAGTCAATGGTGTACACCACTAATGCAATTCTCCAATCAACAGAGGAAGTGCAGAACGTTGCAGATTTAAATGTAACGAATAGAGCTAACATGGTTCTCTATTCTGTGACAGACCATCGTATCCATTCTGCACAATACATTTCTATTCCTCCTGAACAGACCCCAGATCTCATAGGTATGTGTTACAGACAAATGAAAATGACCCATACACAGCGAATACAACACTGTTAAATCAGAGGAAAGTCCTGCTTTTTCATAGTCCCGCGGGTTCATCAGCATACCATACCTAATACCAAAACTCTTATCACATTTGTTCTCAGCAGGCACATGGGTTAACTATGGTTCAAACGCTAAGGGCCACAAAATGTCTTGACTTATTGCAAGACAGAAGACAAAACACTGCCTCGAGCAGACAGACGAGAGCATGTGGTTATGGACTCACACAGTGACTAATTCTAGGACTAGAAAGTAGCCTACTATTTGAGCTACTCGTAAGACAGCAGTGAGACTCTATTTTAAAAGCAGCTATTCCAATAAAAGTGTGATGAAGCTACAGGACACTTCTGACCAGTATAAAATTATTCATTTTCAGAGCTTGCTGCTGGAAAAGCTGAAATCCAAAAATACACCCCAACACACCTGGGCTCATTAGCCTTTATCAGTGCAGAGTGCCGACCACCGAGACGGGGAAATGACTGCCCTGTTAGCAAGGGCCACCAGAACAAGATCAATGAGTGTTTCTCCTAAGAGGGGCTGTGCATTTCTTCTAACATCTCCAACAGGTTCCTGTTGAGACTGTCTCCTACTCAGATTGAATCATGGGGCTGATTCCGTGGGTTGCAACGTAGGCATGTAATGATGAAGAGTCTTGATTCTACATTAAGTGTGTATGTTCTACACAATACATTTCTACGTAAACATTCTGTAATGTTGCGCCCTCCTGAATGAGAAGCCCATGTTCATGTACTGTTGAATAACCACCTCTATACAGTTTGTAACGCTCTACTAACTTCATGCCAGCAGGTATGACGCTTTGTTACTTGTAATAAGCAGGTATGAGCAGGTATGAGCAGGTATGAGCCCTTCCAATGCTTCAGACAGAAAATAGCGGTGACTTATTAAGGATCATTAAGAGATGATACTTTCTAAAACATAGTGGGGTTTCATATATGCTTATGACAAGTATTACATGCATTATAACCACAACGCATTACTTAGCATTAAGTCAAGTGTTACCTTTAAGCGCTCTAAAAGAACTACCGTTGACTACATGCAAGTTCAATCATACATTACATTCCAGTCACAGATGGGGGGCTCTATGACTTGCTGACATCAAAAACATTGAGTATAGTAGCCTAGCCAGCACGGTACTATGATTCAGAGGTCTGAAATACTTCAAACAAGCATATTGTATACGATTCAAGGGTAAATTGATTTTATTCATAGTTGTATGCCAGTTTGCAGTATGCTTTGTACCACACGTATTGGGCCAAATTAACTAAGCCTTTGCACCTGTGCTTTTAGTTTTGAGTCAAGGCAGAACAAAACACAGGATACTGCTTTTATTTGGGTTTTATCTTAGGATTCTATCCCCCTTACGGTTCATGTTACCTAGTGTAAAAGGTGGCGTCTTATTCCGTATGTAGAATAGGTGACGATACTTAGTTAACCAGGCCCGTTGTGAAAGAGATGTGTTTTGCACAGAGGAATCTTAACAGAAGCCATTTCAGAGTCTTACAACTCCGCCATCTGCCTCTGAAGTCAGGCTAGCTACAGACCCCAGACAAGAAATACATAGGACACGTTCCAGGTTGTCTTTATTGCAGCCGCGCTGCGCGCAGATCACATTAAACATTGTAGAAACCACATTCGTATCATATAGCAATCTTCTGAGATGGGCGACTGCAAAAAAGGTTGACCTGGAACGCGGCCATTGGAATCACAGTTAGGAGGACAAGGCTACTTGGAGCTGACACTGCTTGGAGATAAAGCATAGCAGCACAATGTACCGTAGTCTGTGCTTAGCCTCACATCAGTTCACACCAGCTATACCCTAAAACAGCGGTTCCCAACCTTTTGTTTACTGTACCACCAACTGAATTTTACCCTGTCCGGAGTACCACCTGAAGTACCCCCTCGTGTGCATTTTACCAGTAGGTCTATGGTCTCATGAGTCTTCTAAAGTAACCCCCCAGGGGTCTTAGTACCCCTTGTTGGGAACCACTGCCCTAAAACATATAAAAATCGGGAGCTCAGTTGGTAAGGCGGTGAAACTGACCAAATTGGACTATGTCGTCCATTAAATTACACAAAAACACTTAACTGGGCAAGTTATGGCGCCGACTTCACTGGCCAGATTTACTAAACATATGCTTTGTTCACGTCAACAGGGGATGAAACCCCAAAGTTAAAACACTATCTTTATCTACCTTCACTGTGTTTCTTCTCAGAACCTTGTATTTGACCTTTTCGTCCTCTACTTTGTGATTAATTCCCTCTATAAAAATACAGGTACAAACTTTGCACCTGATGTACATGCTTAGTAAATCTGGATCATATGGGGTGAATCCTAAATAGAGATCTGTGAACACTAACCTTTCCTCCCTATTTTTGCCATTGACATCACTGCATGACTTCCTGGAAGCGAAACCAAGTTACTTAGAATCCTCAAGTAAGGATTCAGCTCTGAATAAACAAACAGCGGCAACTAGTTAACCTTTCTGTGCTTGACAAAATTAAACCTACGACAGAAGGCATATATATATATACAGTTCTCTTCATCTCAACCCTAAGGTTGAGAGGCTGCCGTTCCATAGAACTGAAGTATCTGCTAGTCTGCCATTCCAGGGTCGTGTTCATTAGGGCATACAACGGAAAGCAAAAACATTTAATTTCTTAAAAATCGACAAGTCCACGTAGGCTCTCTCCGTTTCAATTAGTTTACTTCCTTTTGGTCCCTAATGAACACGACCAAGGTGTCCGTCGGCTATTTCAGGAGTCAAAGCATTTCATGATGGCCTCCCTGTCGAACTTGAAGTTGAGGAAGGACCTGGAGGAGAGCTGTTCACAGTTGCCGTTACAGACCGCCTGCTGCCCATTGTTGGAGCTGCACGTGTCAGATGGCAATGCTGCATCTACGAAGATAGAGAGAGTAGTTTTACTCAGAAGGCCAGTGGACAGTGAAAACATCAACTTTAAAAGGGAGAGTTCATCTCAACATAAGTTTCCCCCCCCCCCCCCAGACGTTTTGAAAAATGTCTGACTGATGTTGAAGTGAACAATAACTTTAAAATTCTCACCTCAGAACTACTCAACTAATCCAGGTGGCCAACCCTCTTGGAGAGCTACCCTCACAACAATTTTGTTACAAACTAAAACAACAACAACCTAAACTAACAAAATATTATTCTACTCAGGATCTTGATTAACTGAATCAGGTGTGTTAACTGTAGGGCTGAGGTAGTTAGAAGTCTCCAGCAGTCTCGGCCACCCCTGAGCTATTTAAAAAGTGTCTATAGTGAAAGAGGGACCCAAAACAGTATGTGTCTGAAAAAAATGAATGTATAGTTGCTTCATACAGCATTTAAAAAGCTGTTACATATCTACTGAAATCTGTCTCATTCCTAATCTTCACTTTGTGCAATACCTGTGTCGAAGTTGTCCTGTAGTCTCCTGGGCTGAAGTCTCTTCTCCTCTTTCTGGAAGAACAGTTTTACCATTTTAAATGCATCGCTAGTGAAAACAAGTATGTCCATGATAAAAATCAACAGACTATGATCAAACATCATGCAAAAAAAACAACAACAGCTGAACAGATGAATATAATTGAAATTTAAAATGTAAAATGGGAGACCGATTTGTATTAAATTAGGTAATAACTAGAAAACCTTTAGAAAATGTGTGTACTTGCTTCAGGTATTACCAGTTCACTTGTTTTCGATCTAGTTTAATCTTGGGGACACCCAGAACTAAAATATTGCGTAATTGTGTCAGATGCTCGATTGAGTTCTGGGGGGAGACATGTTAGAAAATGTACTAACGAGACTAGCGAAGTCTCCACCCCTCTCAACGGAAACTATCAGTCAGTTTCGGGCAAGTCCCTTCTAAAAATTGGAAAGATGCAAATACCTGCAAAATCAGTGACAGGAAAATCAGCGTACTGGAACAAAGTTCCTCGTTAGTCGTCGCATGCCACAGTCTGTTCGACAGATGCTACTACCATTTATGTTACCTGCATCTGTCCACAAGAAATTAGATCTAGTTAGATGTGCTGTTAGTATCGGTCTAGATTACATCTAGCCTGAGCCCAGATCTGTTTGTGCTCTTGCCAACTTCACTGCTGTTATTGTCAAGCTGAGTGACATGACAATGAGTGACAAAGAGTTGGCGTGAAAAGACTGGCATTCAGGCTTTCTACAATCTAGCTGGTCTTAATCCATGTTCTTATAGTTGGCCACAATCTTAAGACTAGTTGGTCTAGATCCTGGTCTATACTTTAGACTAGTTAGATGTCTAGTTTGTATAGTTGGTTGTATTTACGGAGCGGTTTAGTTGGTCTGTAAAGGGTCTAGGTATGTTATAGTTTGATGTCTAGTTGATCTAGATGTAAAATGTAGTTTGATACCTAGTTATAAAGGACAGATAAACATCTCCTGGAGTACAGCCAGCCAGTCCACTGATTTAAAAATAAATGAGGGGCTTGATTATATGGTGACCATTTAAAAATCAGCTGTGCTAGTTCTGGAATACATTAATAAGTGAACTGGCTAGGGGTACTGGAGTACAGGTTTGGGAAACACTGGTCTAATGCATAAACAACAAGAGGAAAGGGAGACAGAGACCGAGGTTGTGTTCCGATTCCCTACACTTCTCCTATAGGGTGCGTAGAAGGTTTTGCATATTGCAAGTTTGATACATGACAAAGGAAGTAGTGACTGCAGCAGTAATGTAGTGGTGGTAACGCTAGAGGTTATAGTGAGCTATTTTGGGGTGGTTTGTAGGTATGGCGTTATTATAGTGGATTTAGACAGTAGGGTAGTGTGAGTACTATTGCATCAGAAGCAATAGAATGTGTTTTCAGCTCTCAAAATGTTTTAGTTTGAACATTCTGCACCAGTGATTTAGAATTTGGAAGTGTGCATTCCCCTATTGACATGGGGGATACAGGACGCTGTATGGTTTTACATCTACAGTCATTTTAGCAGACACGCTTATCCAGAGCAACTTACAGTTAGTGCATTCATCTTAAGGTAGCTATAAAAAGGCTTTATTGATGCAATCTAAGTTGAGACGGCCCGCACTTGTCAACGTCAGTTTGGTGTTTGTAGCGCAAACGGTTGAAGACCAGTGGCAAATCCAAAATGGATGGCCTATGGGGCTTCAATTAAAACAAATGGTAATAGTTTCTAATATTACTAATGGTAACAATATACACAAAATCCAAAAGCTTTTAGTAAGCAATGCAAGTTGAGTCAGTGAGAAAGTATCATACTAAAAATATATATATATATATATAGTGGGGGAAAAAAGTATTTAGTCAGCCACCAATTGTGCAAGTTCTCCCACTTAAAAAGATGAGGCCTGTAATTTTCATCATAGGTACACGTCAACTATGACAGACAAAATGAGAAAAGAAAATCCAGAAAATCACATTGTAGGATTTTTTATGAATTTATTTGCTAATTATGGTGGAAAATAAGTATTTGGTCAATAACAAAACTTTCTCAATACTTTGTTATATACCCTTTGTTGGCAATGACACAGGTCAAACGTTTTCTGTAAGTCTTCACAAGGTTTTCACACACTGTTGCTGGTATTTTGGCCCATTCCTCCATGCAGATCTCCTCTAGAGCAGTGATGTTTTGGGCCTGTCGCTGGGCAATACGGACTTTCAACTCCCTCCAAAGATTTTCTATGGGGTTGAGATCTGGAGACTGGCTAGGCCACTCCAGGACCTTGAAATGCTTCTTATGAAGCCACTCCTTCGTTGCCCGGGCGGTGTGTTTGGGATCATTGTCATGCTGAAAGACCCAGCCACGTTTCATCTTCAATGCCCTTGCTGATGGAAGGAGGTTTTCACTCAAAATCTCACGATACATGGCCCCATTCATTCTTTCCTTTACACGGATCAGTCGTCCTGGTCCCTTTGCAGAAAAACAGCCCCAAAGCATGATGTTTCCACCCCCATGCGTCACAGTAGGTATGGTGTTCTTTGGATGCAACTCAGCATTCTTTGTCCTCCAAACACGACGAGTTGAGTTATCATCAAAATGTTCTATTTTGGTTTCATCTGACCATATGACATTCTCCCAATCCTCTTCTGGATCATCCAAATGCACTCTAGCAAACTTCAGACGGGCCTGGACATGTACTGGCTTAAGCAGGGGGACACGTCTGGCACTGCAGGATTTGAGTCCCTGGCGGCGTAGTGTGTTACTGATGGTAGGCTTTGTTACTTTGGTCCCAGCTCTCTGCAGGTCATTCACTAGGTCCCCCCGTGTGGTTCTGGGATTTTTGCTCACCGTTCTTGTGATCATTTTGACCACATGGGGTGAGATCTTGGGTGGAGCCCCAGATCGAGGGAGATTATCAGTGGTCTTGTATGTCTTCCATTTCCTAATTAATTGCTCCCACAGTTGATTTCTTCAAACCAAGCTGCTTACCTATTGCAGATTCAGTCTTCCCAGCCTGGTGCAGGTCTACAATTTTGTTTCTGGTGTCCTTTGACAGCTCTTTGGTCTTGGCCATAGTGGAGTTTGGAGTGTGACTGTTTGAGGTTGTGGACAGGTGTCTTTTATACTGATAACAAGTTCAAACAGGTGCCATTAATACAGGTAACGAGTGGAGGACAGAGGAGCCTCTTAAAGAAGAAGTTACAGGTCTGTGAGAGCCAGAAATCTTGCTTGTTTGTAGGTGACCAAATACTTATTTTCCACCATAATTTGCAAATAAATTCATTTAAAATCCTACAATGTGATTTTCTGGATTTTTTTTCTTCCAATTTGTCTGTCATAGTTGACGTGTACCTATGATGAAAATTACAGGCCTCTCATCTTTTTAAGTGGGAGAACTTGCACAATTGTTGGCTGACTAAATACTTTTTTCCCCCCACTGTATATATATACTAAAAAAAAATCTACCACACGGGATTAGTGCTAGCCTGGACGTTTTAAAGTAGTTTTGGTGTTACGGTTTTGGGGCTACAGGTGGCAGAGAAAAGCAAATAATGAGAAGTAGATTTCAGTAGTTGTTTTTGCTTTCAGCAAGCACACCTAACAAACTATGGTGAGGCTTTACACACAGCTTCAGCCAAGTTAAGTTTCACCTGCTGGTTGCCGACTCCATTGGTCCTTTTCTTCAGGTTGGGAGAATCCTGGTGCTTCTTCCCATTGACTTTCACATTGGGGTTCTGCAGACAGGAGCATGTGCCATAGAACCGGGACTCATACTTTGGACATTCAAAAAATATATATATATTGAGAAGCCACTGATGCACTTCAACTACTGCAGTGTCTTGTAAACAACATGGACAATTTGGATTTTGGTTTAGGGGTAGGTTAGTTTTGATTAGAGGGTGCTGTCAGAAAAGCGGGAATTCTTGATTTTAAAAAATCATAGCAGGCTAGACAGAAATATTTTAGCATTCTACAAGGCCCGATTCTGAATAAGGCCAAACTGGGAAGACTAAGCCGACATCGCCCTCTGCTGGTGACAGAAAAAAACAAACCAAAAACAGACCTTTTGCCGTTGAGTGAATTGATGCTGGATTACAATTGCTGCATTGTTTTGCTCAGGCTAAGAGATATTGGTATGCTACAGTATCCTAGCACAAAGTAAAAACACACTCAATGTTGCCTCTGCCATTAATTAAAACACTACAAATAAAGAATATGGCTTTGCCCGAGGAAGACTGACAGGTTGAAACGCATTGCATGCTCTCTGAGTGTTCGTCATGCCTTTGATAGTTGATCTGTTGTAGTATTTTTGAAGATGTACCACAGACATTTCATACATCTATTCCCCCCCAAATCTTGTATTTGGTCTAAACTAAATGCGTCAGCAGCAGTAGGCCTCAGCACTCCGAAGTTAAATCTGTGGATACCTGCCCAAAGTATCCAATTTATGGAGTCTGCTGAAGCAAGTGTGGGGTACCTGAGCAGTAACATTTTCTGATACGGCCAGATTCAGAGTTGAGATAAGTCCACGCAACTGACTTTCCCATAAGTCATTTATTCATGTCAATGGGAGACTTGAGAAAAAAAAATTTGTCAAGCACGCGTGAGCATCTCGTCAATATATACCGATCTCTGAACGGATACACTGCTACGCCTGCTACGTTAGGTTAGTTACACAGAGCGCATGAGAGGAATGTACTCAACACAATGACAAGAGGGACAGAGACGGTTCGTGAAAGTGTGCCTTATCTACTTTGAAGAACAAGTCAAATGATTGTCAGACAGCTCTGCAGCATACTTAGGCAGGCTAGCTAAATAGGATGACTAAAGACAGTACAGTATGGGGATAACAGATTACGTTGTCTGGCTGGCTGCCTGTTACTGCCCGAGCAGAGATTATGACTTTAAGGAACAACAAATAACAAAGTAATCAAGTAAAAACTAAGTAATGTAATCAACTGAAATATTGTATTATTTCATAGTAATTTCCTATTGATGTCTACCCAATGTGGACCTGACAGAGACAACAGAATATTTTCTATGTTTTGGCAATTGAATGTTCACTATTGTTTGCTTAGGAATTTCCATTAGAAAGCTCAAAAAAATTAAATAATTTTAATGTCATTACTTCATAATGCATTTAATGTTTTTATTTTGTTATTATCAAAACAAAAATCGAAAACAGTGATCATTTAAAAAAAATTATCTAACCTAAACAGACCTCAAAAAGCACCAATCTCTCAGCACTACCCCCAACAGACCCTTCAAACAGCAGAGACCAACCAACCTTGGCTTTCAAGAGTTCCGAGAGCTCGTATTGGCTCAGCTGTCCCAGAGGCTTGGGTTGCTTCTGCTTCCCCCAGCCCTCTCCTGGAGACGCCTCAGGCAACAGCTGGGCCCGCCTATGCTTGGAGCTAGAGAAGAAGAAATTATTCAATTCATTTTCAAAAAGCTTTATTGTCCACCAAATGTATAAAAAAAAATTGTCTTTAGCATGGGCATAAGTGTCTTACCGGGCTTTGTCCAGAGGTTTGCATGGAGTGCTGCCGTTGGATGCAAAATCCTCATCACTGTCTGTAGACTCTCCTTTACGCTTGGCAATCCATTCTCGGAGTGGTCTGTGGAGGGCAAAGTAGACATGCTAGAATCAATGACTGAATTATTAATGGTATTAAAAACTGATGTCAGCTTTATACACATAGGATAGAAGGTTACACAATAATACTGTCCAAGTCGCTACAACTATAGGCGGCGCATCCATTAGGTTAGGGGATGCTAAGCTTCCCCTAAAGTAAATTGATTCAAATTGCCTACTCCAGTCTTCACAGAAATAAATACAATCATTCAAAATAGGCTACCACACCAGAAAGCATGATTTGGCCACAGAGGATCATTTGCTTCTTTGCAAAAAAATAAGCTGCGGACTGTTTTCAATCGCATTGCCTACAGTCGGAAGGGCAATTTTTTAAACCCCTTTTCTCCCCAATTTCGTGATATCCAATTGGTAGTTACAGTCTTGTCCCATCGCTGCAACTCCCGTACGGACTCGGGAGAGGCGAAGGTCGAGAGCCATGCGTCTTCAGAAACACGACCCTGCCAAGCCACACTGCTTCTTGATACACTGCTCGCTTAACCCGGAAGCCAGCCGCACCAATGTGTCGGAGGAAACACCGTACAACTGGCGACCGAGGAGTCGCTAGAATGCGACGGGACAAGGACATCCCGGCCAGCCAAACCCTCCCCTAACCCGGACGACGCTGGGCCAATTGTGTGCCGCCTCGACCCGGGTCTGTAGTGACGCCTCTAGCACTGTGATGCAGTGCCTTAGACCGCAGCGCCACGTGGGAGGCAGAAGCGCGCAATTTGGTCAGCGCCCGCGGCCAATACCAAATAGATGATTGTTGAGTAGCGACTGTCAGTGAAAAGTAGAGAGGCCCAGTCAGGCATATCGCAATATTTCAACATACAATCTCGGGAAAACATAGTTTGGTAAGCAAATGGCTATTGCTGTAAAGAGAAGACAATGAAAAGACTAATCTGTCATTTAGTTATCAAAATTCTCAACTTACTTGAGCGAACAACAGTATAGCCTATCTTATTGGGACCAGCGGAGAGCATCGGTCATGTCCCCGGTGAGTGTACATATTCACTCTATCATTGTTGGGTCAGTGCCACTTGAAAGTTAGTTTTTGGACAATAATATGTCCTCCTCCAGGTTAGATGGACTTCACATTGTCTGTGTCTCTCCCCTACCTGTAGGCCTATTATAAATATGTTTGTCAGTATCAGCAGAGTAGACTACCCTGTCAATTCCATTGCAGGCTATTAAAAAGTGTAGTAGAATTGCATGAAATAAGTTTATATAAAAAGGCCACATTTTTCCAATGCAAAAGGAGAAGAAACATATCGGATATAGCCTCTATGCCACTACACGCTCAGCCATGCAATGAACTGCATTTTTTGCGAACAGCGATCGAGTTATATTATTAGCCTAAACTATGACTATTCAATCTACTCACCACATTAGGAATAGTAGGCCACCTTACATAAGTCTGCAAATGAGGTGATGCATGGAATGCTTTGTTAAGAAGGTGAATTTTTACGGTGAAAATTAGCTTCCCCAAACTAGAAACTCAGGCGCCGCCTATGGCTACAACCTAAACGTGCAATTGTTTTACCATTTTGTTATTCATGCTGCGCTGAAATTACAGGTTATATTTGACAAAAGTGAAAAAGCAACGCTATGGATTATTTCACTGTTGACTAGATACTCTTTATCACATGCGGTTTGCTGTCACCCAAGTCTTTCAGAAATTGGCATTTTTAATCAGTGTGAAGAGCAATAAGACACTGACCTGACAAAAGGAATGGCCATGAAAAACTTGTTGGGGGCGAGTCCAAGTTTAGACTTGGGAGTCATGTCGTTCCTGTGACATGGTAGTTTCTCAATCGGGAACCACTCGATGTTCTATGAGAAACACAGCACAACAGCCAGTCCTAGTTGTTCTCTTTATCGGCATTGGAAATACAAATTGTAAATAGGAACAAAAGATGAGGAAGTTAAGGGGTAACCGTACCCTTATTTCCTTCCTTGTTTTGGGGTTGAACTTCGTCTCCTTGGGTACCCCAGGTATTATGTACAATCGGGCCAACTGATCAGTGATTTTCTGCTCGATGAACGTGTCTTTGCAGATGCGATCTTTGATATCGAAACCTGTCTCCTCCATAACCTAAGAGAATACAGACATGGGTATGAGAAAGCATTATTGAATGAAACGTCATATATTGTATCTAGCCATTATGTCTTGAGCAAATATTTACACTTGCCAAATCAGAATTGTAAGGAGTTATAAAACGGAGATAAGAGGCAATTACCTCTCGTACAGCACAAACATGGGGAGCCTCATCTTCATTCACTTTTCCCTTTGGAAAACCCCACCCGGACTTGGCCAAATAGCCCTGAACCAGCAATGCCTAAAGAGAAGAAATATTAGATATTATAAAGGACATACAAAAAACGTGACACAACTTAAGACATATGAAATGTTTATCGGGAAGTATTGCCACACACATCCAGTGTTATATTGTATGTACTATACTCACATTGTCAAGCGACTCATCTAGAATAATGGCACCATAGGTTGGAACACCCATCTTATATTCCTTCCACTGTTCTAGAACCTTCTGTACATCCTCCCCATTGGGCAGCAGGAATGGACAATGATTAAAAAGTAGCATGGAGTCAAGGAGAATATAAGGAACATTTGCAAAAAAATGAATATTGTGTTTAGTTGTTTGTACCGCTCCTCACAAGACGTTATTTGAATTGAAGGTGGTGTGGTCTATACAAGTTCAACATGGAAATGTTAGGTGATGACATGTACATAACCATTCACACAGTGGGCCTATGGTCATAAAAGCTTTTTTTTTTTTTTTTTTATCAGGAATTAACTAACCAAAGAAAAAAGAACAACATGATAACAACCCCCCACCCCCCTCTCTCACACGTCATTATTATCATGTAAGGATATCAGCCTTGGCAAAGTCCCTTATCCCGCACTGAGGTAATCCTGGTGCATTCTGCATGCAGAAGTCCAGGTAGAACCAATGGGCAAGCTCGATCTGGAAGCACACGCGGATAGCATTGTCCCTCTCTTCACTAGGGATGTGGAGGATGAATCGACTGTGGAGGAGAGAAGAGGCAAATCAGTACAGTAGCAGAACTACATGGACATAGTTAATTAGACAACATACTGTGGTCCATGTCGCGTTATGAAACTACGACACAGTATAATGAGGCACCATGACAGTAGCTAAGCCTGAGGTTCTGTGTATGCAACCACGGGGCGTATTCATTACCGAAACCGTTTACCGTTAAAGAACCAAACGGAAGCAAACAGAACAAAACGCGAATTTCTATTGAACAAATTCAGGTAGGTCCCTCCCCGTTTCGTTCGAGAAACGTTTTGTAACAGAATTGCCGGAATTAATACACCCTGAGAACACTAATGCAACGCACTTTCATTTAATCAACCCCATTGTCGTTCGAGACAGACTAAACTATCTAGATAGCTATCCACAACCAAGGTTACGACAAGCCACAAGCACAACAAAGACACTCCTCGTGATATAGTGCTAGTAAGAAATCAAAACGTGATATTTGATAACAAGTTAGCCACTTCTAACGCGGTATTTACCTGCAGAGGTCGTCCAATACGCCGTTGGGAATCTCCCCTCTTTTTGTCTCCATGTCGAGGATAAAAACATCCCGAACTCGCGAAACAATGAGGCGAAAAATAAACAGCGCAAAGCTACTATTTTCTCAAATCACGAATCAATGCATTCTAACTATATCTGCCAGGTTCGTCCAATGTCCCTAAACTTACACAAATAAATATAAGTTAGCTCGCTAAAAACAAACTCCACCACAGTGCAATCGAAAAAGGAAGGTAGGAACGCCACACTGTTGATGATGTGAAGGAATATTATTATCCAATCGTATATCAGGGGAGGCTGGCCAAGTTGTGTATGTGGTATCTTATTAGACTAAATGATTGCCTGTCAAAATATTCTAACCAATCAAGACGCAGAATAACTCGACGCAGAATAACTCGAGCTCAATTGATTAAGTTTGGTTGACAAAACAAGGAAACGGTGAGCAAAGATATTCGAGCAAGATTAAAAAGTAGACAGCGTGATCTATTGGATGACTCCCCTGTTGTCTTATTTTGGGATTTTCAGAAAGCATTTGATACCGAAAATCACAATTTTATCTTGATTGTCTTAAGCATTTGAAGTTTGGTAATTTTTTTGTTGACGCTATTATAACTCTGTATAATGGTAGCAATAGCTGTATCAAACTCTGTCATGGAACATCCTCAAGGTTTAACATTTACAAAGGAATATGACAAGGTTGTCCAATCTCACCTTTTTTATTTTTGTTAGTTTCTCAAACCTTATGCTCATTAGTTTATCAAAGTCAATTTGAAGGCATTACATTCCAGGCCAGAGAGATCAAGATATCCCAACTGGTGGATGACACCTGACTTTTTTGAAAAATGTGTCACAAACTAGATTAGCATTGGATATTGTGAAGCAGTTCTCCAAAATCTCAGGTTTGGTATTAAATCTTTCCAAATGCGAGATGTTTGTTCTGAAAGGAGCTGTCAATCCAGCAGACTGTAACATCTCTGAAAAAGATACTGTAACCTACCTCGGTGTAAAGATCACCAAAAATCTTAAGGCTGTGAATGATCTTAATTTGAATCATGTAACTGAATCTATCAAAAATAAATTTTCCTCATGGTTAGGGAGGGGTTTAAGTCTTCAAGGGAGGGTGCTTTTATCCAAAGCTGAGGGGCTATCTCGTGCATCCTATCTTTTTTCATCTATTGACATCCCCAAATCCACTTGCTGTACCTTAGATAGGCTATTGTACAACTTCGTATGGAAAAACAAGCCACATAAGATAAAAAGAGATGTTATCACCAACAGGGTTTGTGATGGCGGTCTAAATGTCTTAGACTTCACTCTCTTTAATCACATATCAAAAGTCAACTGAGTTAAAAGGTACTTTTAAAAAATCCTCATAGTTTCTGGAATATTATACCTCATTTTGTTTTTCAGAAGCTCGGAGGGCTTAATTTTTTACTACAATGTCCCTATATTGTGGGTAAACTTCCTATGTAATTGGCGGCTTTCCACAAGCAGGCTTTAATGTGCTGGGCTTTGCTGTATAAACACAACTTTTCACCTCAAATGTTGTATATGGAATAATGGGTCGATATTACATAGAAACAAGATGTTATTTTACTGTAACTGGTTCTCGAAAAACATTGTCCTTGTCAGCCAATTAGTTAGTATTAGTGGGAATCTATTTACACTGAGAGAATGTATGGAAAGATACAACTTTGAGGTTTCAAGCAAGGAATATGAAACTGTTTTAAAAGCTATACCTAGTGGGATAAAATATTTACTTCAGAATAATGCATATTTTGGAGCATCTCCTATTGTAAGCGATATCCAAGTGAATGGCATAGGTTTACTAGATAAGAAATTAAATAATAGTTTTTTAATGGATATTTTCTACAGGAACTCTATTCCTTCTGCTATATTTTATTGGGCTTCATCGTTTTATGTAAGCTGGCGACATGCTTGGCTCACTCCACACAAATTTATGGTGACCAATAAAGTAAAGGAGATCTCCTTTAAGATTATCCATAGATTCTACCAGTGTAATAGCCTGATTTCTAAATATCTACCTGATGTTACTAGTGAATGCAGTTTTTGTGAACTAGAAACTGAATCTATTGAGCACTTATTTTGAAATTGTTTACATAGTGAGGTGTTCTGGACTGATGTACAACTATATATTGGCAACAAAATGCATACAACCATTGAAATATCTAAGTTTGACATATTATTTTACTACACTGATTCCACAATTGAACGTCAGTATATCATACACAAATCAAAATGTATGAAGTAAAAGCCCCTTTTTTAACTTGTTTAATCAGATTTGGGAAACTATTTAGCATTATTAAAACGTATACAAAACAAAATGTCAAAATGTATTTGTTACATGTCTGTATTTGATTGTTTGTGTTTTACATGTTACTGTTAAATAAATAAAAATTTAATTAATAAATGTGTGTGTGTGTGTGTGTGTGTGTGTATATATATGTGTGTGTGTGTGTGTGTGTGTGTGTGTGTATATATATGTAGACAGCTAGACAACTTTGGGTATCAGAGAGGAAAAGGCAAGGCCTGGGTAGCTATGTCAATTACATTTTATACACGGACATCCAGTAGCATTAGAACACTTTTTCATTAGCAGTAATCACAAAAAATAACATGCGATAGCATTGGCCACAATTTGATTATTATAGGAATAAGATATAAATGTGTTATAGTAATAATATTGTTATACGTGCCCTTATAAGTTATTATATTCTGTATCTTCTATTGTGAGAGGCTGGCGACCTGTGACAGCACCAAACCATTATACAGCTACAATCATTTATTCAGTCTAGTGCCCAAGTCTACATGTGTGGATATTAATAGTTGTTTAATTCAATAAAAATACAAAATAAACCTCTCATTTGTGACAGTAATTTGAAAGTTGGATGCTCTTTTAGGATTTGAATGGCAGAACATCAGTGAACCCTAGGATTGACCTTTTTGAATGACCATGCATAGGAATAAAATAAAACAAATATTTGGTTATATGACATTAAAGGATCAATAAATCTATAAAGCACATTGCAATGAACTATGTTGTGTTTAATAGGCATATTCAAAGTTTCATAAAGGAGATATATGTGTGACTGGGCTGTAACAGAAAAATATATAATATAAAAAAGGGTCAAAGACTGCAGCCACCCAAGTCAAAGCCTGTTCTCTCTGCGACCGCAAGTCTGGAACCAACAGGACCCTGAACAGCTTCTATCCCCAAGCCATAAGACTACTAAATAGTTAGTCCGGTTAACTATTTAACTATCTTCATTTACGCTTTTTGCACTAACTCTTTTGACTCATCACATAAGCTGCTGTTACGGTGTACTATCTACCCTGTTGCCAAGTGACTTTATCCCTACCTATATGTACATATCAACTTCAGTTACCTCGTACCCCTGCACATCGACTCAGTACTGGTACCCCGTGTATATAGCCAAGTTATCGTTACTCATTGTGTATTTATTGCGCGTGTTATTATTTTTTATATTATTTATTTTCTCCCTCTCTCTCTGCATTGTTGGAAAGCCCCGTAAGTAAGCATTTAACTGTTAGTCTACACCTGTTGTTTACGAAGCATGTGACAAATACAATTTGATTTTATACAATTTAGCATTGTCATCAAAGTATTGGGTGTGGCTGCAGACATCTTGCAGTGACGTATCGCTCAGTGTGCTTCCATTGGTTTTGTCTGAACAGCGAGAAGAAGCAGGGTAGAGTTGCATGGGTGTCGCAGTTCAATAGCCAACTTCATAGTCAACCAGCACGAACATCATGGCAGCCATGGTACAGGAAATAAAAGAAAGATTCGACAAGTTTCTTCATGAAAAGAATCTTATGACCGATACATTGGCAAAGATCGAAGCTAAAACTGGAGTAAACAGGGCCTATATCGCAATTGGTAAGTATTTTGCTGTTATGAGATGGGGGGGAGCACAAGGGATCTTTTTATTGAAAAGAAAATGAGGGTATGCTGTAAGAGTTCTGGTAACGCAGCCTGCATCGGTCGTGGCACAGTTTGTTCTCTTGACAAATTAAGTCAAGATTCTGATCAAATAGATTGGACGTTTTGATTGTTTATGTCAATAAAATACGTTTTATGAGTATACACCCATTTTCTTTTTTACTAGATGATATTTAGACAATCACTTACATTAATGGATGACAAATATCTGTAGCCAATAGGCTAATACACTGATATTATCTTGCAGCCGTCGTCGTCTTTCTCGCAATTTACCTGGTTATTGGGTATGGAGCCTCCCTACTGTGTAACCTCATCGGATTTGCTTATCCAGCCTACATATCGTAAGTTTTTTTCTTCTCTTTAATTAGTCATTTAGGACAGCAATCAATGTGTGAATTGTTACTGCCCTGTTATCAGCAGAACAATTTAATGAATTGCGTCATATCTGACCCGCCCTACCCCGTTCCTGTGCCTCACGCACAACATCACTATGCTATTTCAACATTGGCAACAGAAATCAAGGCCCAACGGGGAATCAGTCACCCACCTTGCACGGAGAGAGCCTATTTGTTTTGTGAATAATTGTAAACAAATGTAGCTTGATGGGTGTTACCTATGTAGTTCTACAGTAGCCCATGTTGAGGAATAATGTCTGGGTCCAATGTACATGTTTACCTTGCCGTTAGCTTGAGAGTCAGGATTCTCTGAATGGCACTGGTAAAATACTCAGCAATGTGCCAGCATCTTCTTACTCCAAGTTGTTACGTAATAACTAAGGTCCAATTGTAGACAATTTTGTCTGTAGGTCGGGTGTGGATTTGATATCACCTCCCCCCCCCCCCCCATGTTCACGCCTCCGCGGAAATGTAATTAGCGCAATACAAAAATCTCCATATAAATCTGTCAATTTAAGTTAGAGATGTTTTTTTGCATTGTTGCACAATGTTACACTTCCGCATCTGCGGTGAAAGGTGAGACATCCTGCAAATCTGTCACAAAATCGCCTGTAGCGTCCGAACGGTTTGGGCTATAGGACAGACACTTCAGAACAAACTTCCTTTTTCATTTTATGGGGAACTATCTGTTGTTCCATGTAGTGAATCTGTTATTCAAAGCGTTTGTATGGGCTAATTGCAGTAGGGCCAAAAATATTTATTCATCAAATATTTTGTTATTATTCATTTTTGATACTTTAAGGGTTCTTTTAAAATTATAAATCAAATAGCAAAATGATCCTTGTATGACTTTCTTAAAACAATTCCACATAGCTTAGTAGAACCCCTCCCCCAGTTTACAGGTCTTAGACTGTTATGTGACTGACTGTACACTTTTGGTGTGGCTGATCTAATCAAACTCATCTATGAATTATATCAAATCACTCCTCAGTGTGAGGAGATTATATTTCCTCCCAAACACACTTACCGTACAGCAGTCTATGGATCTGCAATGAGGACAATATTTTAGTTACTCGACATGTTGGCCGAAATGTGGGCAAAGCAGCCATGATTCTGTTGAGGCTACTGCTCTTGTTCAGTGTTGCAAGAGACTGAGCAGTGAGCACAGAGAGGAATATCCTGAGATACCCATGCTTAACCACAGAAACAAAACACAAGTGACTCATAGTCATTTCAGTTGGTCCCAACCACAGTTGCCTCTTGTGATTAACTCTGCGTGTCTGGACAAAGTTAAATTGAACTCTGACGTATAGCGTTATCCTCATGCAACAAGTTATTTGATTCAATTCATAACTTATTTAGATATGGATCAGTCTACAAACAGCAGCACATAGTGAAACAATGCGAATGCTGTTCAAATATTAAATGGAACACTCAGACTCTTTGGCATGCAAAACGTTGACACAAGACTTACAATTTGCTCTGCACTCCCACTCCTGAGTCAAAATATTACCATGGAAACCTAGTTGCCAGGCCTTATGGTATCTATTATGTTCTTCTTTCTTTAGCCTGTAACTTGACAGCCTGGCTATTCTTTCCCAAATATAAAATCAATACGAGTCCGTGTTTGTGTTATGAAATCTGCTAAGTGTGTTCATGTCATCTTGCATAATACTTTGCCATTATGCTTTTACGCATCCAATCGCTAAAATGGACTCGTCCATTAATTGCAGGATCAAAGCCATTGAGAGTGAAACCAAAGATGACGACACAAAATGGCTGACCTACTGGGTGGTGTACGGAGTGTTCAGCGTGGCGGAGTTCTTTGCCGACATCTTCCTGTCCTGGTTCCCATTTTACTACATGGGAAAGGTAATGCATACTGGTGTTTGTTTGTCCTTGACCTCAAGGTCCTGAAGTACAGCAGTTTCCTAATCTTTGATACTATTTGGTGAGATTAACATTGAGAGCATGATGTGCTGTGTACATAAACCATTCCCTCATTTGTCAAACAAACGGTCCTGCTATTGTGAAACCTTCTGCACACAGTTACCAACATCCAAACACACCCCATAATTAAATAATTGGCCAAAATATTTTCAGCCTCCAAAAGGTGTGAATTCTTAAAATAAATCACACTTACAGTGCCTTCAGAAAGTATTCACACCCCTTGACTTTTTCCACATTTTGTTGTTACAAATTGGGTTTAAAATGGATATGTAATTTTTTGTCTACGATCTGCACAAAATACTCTAATGTCAAAGTGGAAGAAAAATGCAAAAATGTGTAAAACAATTAATGAAAAATAAAACACTATCTTGTATTGCTGAGCGATTTAACCGAAATTTCGGTTATTTTTCGTTTTTTAAACAACTGATTTACTGATGTCTGTTCAATAATTAGAATTCCATTTTGTTCCTTTTTTTCTTCTCAGAGCTATATCAGATCAACAGGCCAATATTCTACATAGTTTAGCGCATAAAACGTGGTAATTAACTACAATGACCATAATCCATTGCTAAATCTACTTGTCCGGTCTGTTTCTTTTACACCTGCTACAGAAGAGACCGAAGAATGCGTGATTGTGAGCGGTATCAGGTATCTCTACCTGAAAATACATGATCTAAGTCAGGGGTGTCAAACTCATTTTAGCTCAGGGGCCACATGGAGGAAAATCTATTCCCAAGTGGGCCGGACCGGAAAAATCATGGTGTGTGTATATATATAACTTAAAAACAACAACTTCAGATTGTTTTCTTTGTTTTAATACGATCAACATACAACATAAAGCTGGAACCTGAGGACAGTGTGTCCAAAATAGTACAAGCACAACATCACTATTAATCATAAAACACGTCAAGTTTATTTGAAAATTCTAAAGAAAAAGAACACACAAACACACAATGCCTCAGTGATTAACAGAACTGTTTCACAGATCACAGAACTATATCAGGGTGTCATTTCTCAGTCAGAAATGTAGATAAAAATAATGAAATCCTGTTCCCCAAACAAGTGCAAGAACCACAGAGTCAAGAATAGGTTAAATATACAAATAAAATAAAATCAATTAAAAACAATAGCACATCAACATAAAAACATATAAACATAAAGCTGGAGCCTGAGGACAGTGTCCAAAAGCACAACATCACTATTAATCATAAAACACCTCAAGTTATTTGAAAGTTCTGAGGACAAAGAACACACAAACACACAATGCCTCAGTGATTCACAGAAGTATATCACAGAACTATATCAGGGTGTCATTTCTCAGGCAGAAATGTAGATAAAAATAATGAAATCCTGTTCCCCAAACAAGTGCAAGAACCACAGAGTCAAGAATAGGTTAAATATACAAATAAAATAAAAACAATAGCACATCAACAGAAAAACATATAAACATAAATCTGAAAGCATTGCTCAAACTCCCGTAACAGTCCCGTTATCTTATCTTTGAACCGCTTCATGTCTGCCACATGTTGGGTCGCGCACACATTTTTCAGACAGGGGAAGTGAGCGGCATCACCACCGGCAAGTTGCGTCTCCCACAATGACAGCTTCAACTTGAAAGAACGTATGCTGTCATAATACTGCGTGACAACTTTGTTGCGCCTTTGCAGCTGTTTGTTCAAGTTATTCAGGTGCTCTGTAACATCCACCATAAATGCAAGGTCCTGCATCCATTCTGCTGAATGAAATTCTAACACTGGTTTGCCCTTTTCTTCCATGAACTGTTCAATTTCTTCTCGTAAATCAAAGAAACGCCTCAGCACAGCACCTCGGCTTAACCATCTTACCTCAGTGTGGTATGGCAGGCCATAGATGTGGTCTTTCTCTCTGAGAAGGCTGTCAAACTGACAGTGATTCAGGCTTCTGGATCGGATGAAATTAACAGTTTGGATGACCACCTTCATGACGTTATCCATCTTTAATGACTTGCAACACAAAGCCTCCTGGTGCAAAATACAGTGAAAAGTCAAAAAATCACGTCCTCCATTTGCAGATTGCACTTTCTCTCTGAACTTTGTCACAACGCCTGCTTTTTTCCCGATCATTGAGGGCGCACCATCTGTAGCCAGGCTGACAGCGCGGGACCAGTCCACTCCGACCCTGTCCAGCGCGCCGACGAGTGCGGTAAAAATATCAGCTGCTGTCGTTGTATCTGTCATCGGCACCAACTCCACGAACTCCTCGGTGACGGTCAATGTGTCATCAACTCCGCGGATGAAAATGGCCAGTTGTGCAACATCTGTAATGTCCGTGCTTTCATCAATTGCAACCGAAAACGCAATAAATGACTTTACTTTTTGCTTCAACTGGCTGTCCAAATCCACTGAAAGATCGGAAATCCTGTCTGCAACTGTGTTTCTTGTCAGGCTGATATTTGCAAAAGCCTGCCGCTTTTCAGGGCACACAATCTCCGCTGCCTTCATCATGCATGTTTTTACAAATTCACCCTCACTAAATGGTTTTGAAGCCACTGCGATTTCATTAGCAATGAGGTAGCTAGCTTTCACTGCAGCGTCACTGATGTCTCGGCTGTGAGTAAACACAGACTGCTGTTTCTTCAGACCCGCCAACAGTTCATTCACCTTCTCTCATCTCCGCTGTCCTTGAAAGTTGTCATATTTGTCGGCATGAAGACTCACATAGTGGCGACGAAGGTTATATTCTTTCAGCACTGCAACATGCTCTGAACACACCAAACATACAGCTTTCCCATTCAATTCTGTGAATAAATAGGATGACAATTTTTCTTGGAACACTCTGCACTCTGCGTCCACTTTTCTCTTTTTTGACAGAGACATATTGGGGCAATGAGGGTGCCAAAGCACATAATGTTAAAAGTAGAAGCCGTAATAAATATCGCGGGCAAAACAAAGTAGCTCATTGGCTGCACGTGCTTGACCTACTTGCTCTGCCCGGGTATAAACAGTTTGCTTGCTTAACACAATTGCTATTGCGCCATCCAGTGGACGCAATTGGAACAGCAGTTTATTTTATTGAAAAATTGCAGCGCATTTTTATACTTTACAAAATTATTATTATTATTATTTTTTTCTTTTTTTTTTTTCTTCAAAATCATCTCGCGGGCCGGATTAAACCCGTTTGCGGGCCTGATCCGGCCCGCGGGCCGGACGTTTGACACCCCTGATCTAAGTGATTGATAGTTGGTGTTCAGCAGTAATGAAAGTGTGCCATATTTAGTTTGAAGAACTACAAAATAGTGATTTTGTCAGACAGTCTATAGAGATGAGATGATGACTTGGAATGAAATACAGTTGAAGTCGGAAGTTTACATACACTTAGGTTGGCGTCATTAAAACTTGTTTTTCAACCACTCCACAAATTTCTTGTTAACAAACTATAGTTTTGGCAAGTCGGTTAGGACATCTACTTTGTGCATGACACAAGTCATTTTTCCAACAATTGTTTACAGACAGATTATTTCACTTAGAATTCACTGTATCACAATTCAAGTGGGTCCGAAGTTTACATACACTAAATTGACTGTGCCTTTAAACAGCTTGGAAAATTCCAGAAAATGATGTCATGGCTTTAGAAGCTTCTGATAGGCTAATTGACATAATTTGAGTCAATTGAAGGTGTACCTGTGGATATATTTTAAGGCCTACCTTCAGACTCAGAGCCTCTTTGCTTGACATCATGGGAAAATCAAAAGAAATCAGCCAAGACCTCAGAAAAAGAATTGTAGGGTCTGGTTTATCCTTGGGAGCAATTTCCAAATGCCTGAAGGTACCACGTTCATCTGTACAAACAATAGTACGCAAGTATAAACACCATGGGACCACGCAGCCGTCATACCGCTCAGGAAGGAGACGCGTTCTGTCTCCTAGAGATTAACGTACTTTGGTGCGAAAAGTGCAAATCAATCCCAGAACAACAGAAAAGGACCCTGTGAAGATGCTGGAGGAAACGGGTACAAAAGTAACTATATCCACAGTAAAACAAGTCCTATATCGACATAACCTGAAAGGCCACTCAGCAAGGAGAAGCCACTGCTCCAAAACCGCCATAAAGCCAGACTACGGTTTGCAACTGCACATGGGGACAAAGATCGTACTTTTTGGAGAAATGTCCTCTGGTCTGATGAAACAAAAATAGAACTGTTTGGCCATAATGACCATTGTTATGTTTGGAGGAAAAAGGGGGTTGCTTGCAAGCCAAAGAACACCATCCCAACCGTGAAGCATAGGGGTGGCAGCATCATGCTGTGGGGGTGCTTTGCTGCAGGAGGGACTGGTGCACTTCACAAAATAGATGGCATCATGAGGAAGGAAAATGATGTGGATATATTGAAGCAACATCTCAAGACATCAGTCAGGAAGTTAAAGCTTGGTCGCAAATGGGTTTTCTAAATGGACAATGACCCCAAGCATATTTCCAAAGTTGTGGCAAAATGGCTTAAGGACAACAAAGTCAAGGTATTGGAGTGGCCATCACAAAGCCCTGACCTCAATCCTATAGAACATTTGTGGGCAGAACTGAAAAAGCGTGTGCGAGCAAGGAGGCCTACAAACCTGACTCAGTTACACCAGCTCTGTCAGGAGGAATGGGCCAAAATTCACCCAACTTATTGTGGGAAGCTTGTGGAAGGCTACCCGAAACCGTTTGACCCAAGTTAAACAATTTAAAGGCAATGCTACCAAATACTAATTGAGTGTATGTAAACTTCTGACCCACTGGGAATGTGATGAAAGAAATAAAAGCTGAAATAAATCATTCTCTCTACTATTATTCTGACATTTCACATTCTTAAAATAAAGTGGTGATCCTAACTGACCTAAGACAGGGAATTTTTTACTGGGATTAAATGTCAGGAATTGTGAAAAACTGAGTTGAAATGTATTTGGCTAAGGTGTATGTAAACTTCCGACTTCAGCTGTAATAAAGTCAAGGGGCCTCCCGAGTGGCGCAGCGGTCTAAGGCACTGCATCTCAGTGCATGAGGCGTCACTACAGACCGAGTGGCGCAGCGGTCTAAGGCACTGCATCTCAGTGCTTGAGGGCGTCACTACGGACCGAGTGGCAGCAAGCCGTCTAAGGCATGCATCTCAGTGAATGAGGCGTCACTACAGACCAGTGGCGAGAGGTCTAAGGCAATGCATCTCAGGGCTTGAGGCGGTCACTACACCCCCCCCCCCCCCCCTGAACGAGTGGGAGCCGTCTAGGCACTGGCATCTCATGTGCATGCGGCGTCACTACCAGGGGGGACGAGTGGCGCAGCGGTCTAAGGCACTGCCATCTCAGTTGCTGAGGCGTCATACAGACCCGAGCAGGCGCAAGTTTTAGGCAACTGCATCTCAGTGCATGAGGCGTCACTTACAGACGAGTGGCGCAAGCCGTCAAGGCCCTGCAACTCAGTGCATGGCGTCACTAAGACCACTACCAGAACCCCTGGTTCCATCCCAGGCTGTGTCACGTGACCGGAGTCCCATATGGCGGCGCACCATTGGCCCGGCGTCGTCCGGGTTAGGGTCCGTTGGGGAGTTTCAGCGATGAGACAAGATCGTAATCATGAAAAAGGGGGTAAAAATTACAATTTTTTTTTTTTTTAAGTCATCAAATAAAACATGTCATATACACAACTGAAATATTTTAATAAAGTAATGTGAATACATTTTTACATTTTAGTCATTTAGCAGATGCTCTTATCCAGAGCGACTTACAGTTAATAAGTGCATACACATATTTTTTTAGAAGTATTATTCCCCCGTGGGAGTCGAACACACAACCCTGGCGTTGCAAACGCCATGCTCTACCAACTGAGCTACATCCCTGCCGGCCATTCCCTCCCCTACCCTGGACGACGCCGGGCCAATTGTGCGCCGCCCCATGGGTCTCCCGGTCGCGGCCGGCTACGACAGAGCCTGGATTCGAACCAGGATCTCTTGTGGCACAGCCTTAGACCACTGCGCCACTCGGGAGGTTAAATGATGGTTAATAAGTGATAAGCAGTAATGTGCAGTCACTACCATCATGGGACTTTTATTAATTGTTTTATTCTGTGTTACAGCATTCAACCCAAATAATCAAAATCTGTTAATTCTTTTATTTCAGCTTTAAATTTTTTATTCATTTGTAAACATTTCTACATAATTCCACTATGACGTTATGGGGTATTGTGTGTAGGCCAGTGACAATCTCAATTTAATCCATTTTTAATTCAGGCTGTAACAACAACAAAATGTGGAAAAAGTCCAGGGGTGTGAATACTTTCTGAAGGCACTGTAGATCATTGTTAAGGTATTAAGCATGTTAAATCAAAACATTATATTGACTAGATTCAATAACTTCATCTCCCTCCTTAATCTGTCCATCATGTGCTGGTATGAAGTAGATGGCCTTATTTCCTTCCCATCTCCATGGCAACTGAGCTCATGCCTGCCAGCTTGTGTAATTTCATAGAGCACTTACTCAGAGGCTTTTATTCTTGACGGTGTTTCCTGGAAGCATTGGGAGAGAACGTTCTGTTGTTTGTTTCCCTCAGTGTGCCTTCTTGGTGTGGTGCATGGCTCCAACTCCCTCTAATGGTTCCATACAAATATACACGCGGATCATCCGCCCCATCTTCCTCAAGCACGAGACCAAGATTGACAATATAGCAAAGGACCTCAAGGACAAGGCGGCAGATGCTGCTGACAAGTTCAAAGATGAAGGTAGGAACACAGGCATCTGTTTCCTTTTTAAAACCGTCTCTGCCTTTTGCCCTTTGGATCTCATCCTTTCCATTAAATGTGCAGCATCTGCTCTTTAAAAGTAGCTGACGGGTGATGCCTTTAGCTCTAAGAGGTTTGAGTAATGGGTTCAGACAGTTTATGGAAATGTAACGTGTTTTCTTAGTTGCATAATTGAGGAACGGTGAACCTGCTACATTTCCCATTGACAGATTTAAATGGCCATTGTCGATATGTCCAATTTAGGTCAGCATCACATTAATTGGAATGCTCTGGTCTTGACCATTCATTTCTTTGTCAAATTGTCTGTGTGACTGCTTCTCTGACAGACAGACGGACACAGACGATTGTTGAGGTAGGCCTCTTGATAGGAAGACAGTGTTGTTGGGGTAGGCCTCTTGATAGGAAGACAGTGTTGTTGAGGTAGGCCTCTTGATAGGAAGACAGTGTTGTTGAGGTAGGCCTCTTGATAGGAAGACAGTGGTGTTGGGGTAGGCCTCTTGATAGGAAGACAGTGTTGTTGGGGTAGGCCTCGTACATCTAAGTGTAATGTTTTTGCTCCACAGCGAAGAAAGCGACTGCGAACCTAATGTGGGAGGAGGGAATGAAGAAGGACTCCTAAGGCGCCCCGAGGTCAAAGTTAAAAGTTCAACAGCATCGTCATCTCTGGAGTGGACTGTGTTACACAGCTCAATAAATGTTGCCTTGGATTTTTTTTATTGTTTATTATTTTATAAATTATCTGAAGGATAGTATCTTGGTCTTGCACACTTTGTTTGTAAAAAAAAAAAAAAAAAAAACTGCGATAGATTGTCATGTATCCAAAAGTGATGTAAATCCGTTTGAAACCTTTAACTTGTTTGCGTACCTTAAGGCTGTAATGAGCCAGTGATGAATGTTTCCCCTCCTGCTACGCATTAAGTACCCAAATAAAAAAGAAACTTGCTGTTATTTCTCCATTGTTTCTTTCCCTCATTACTCAAATTAATGGTCTATGGTCTTTTTTACAATGCTATTTTTGGCAGCGAGTTTGCGGAGAGTACTAGACCAAAAGCTAACTTTGGCTGGATATACTGTTTTGAATTGCTTACCTGAACCTCCACTGTAAACTGGGGCCTGCTTATAGAAGAAAGATACTGATAGAAGATGGACTTTACTGTTCATACTTTCAATGGAAATGTATTGATTTGCTGTTACAAAACTCCAACCTCATAAACCACAAACACACAAGGCTGGCAGGAGCACAGAATCGGCTGCAGATCAGCGTCGCCGGGGCAATTGTAGGTGTTAAGTGACTTGCTCAAGGACACATCGGCAGTGAATAGTACCTGGGATCAGAGATCAGCAGCCGTCGGTTGCCAGTTTAGTTCCCGCTTATGTAGCCCGGCCCAGAGTGGTATACTACAAAGCAAGATCAATGCGTTAACTTTGATAAACCAGAAAGAACCATTTTATTTTCTGGTTCATAAAGCTAAACTTGTGTTTTCGGTTAAGTAGACAATGCCCATTTCAAGCGGATCTTTTTAAACAATAAAACGTTTTTTTTCTGAATATTTAGGCAGGTTAGCATGCTAACTCATTGATCCTGCTGTGTAGTATACCCCTCTAGGCTTGACGCAGAAACCTTCCCATTTATCCCCTGGTACCACGATAGACTGATAAATGAGTGAGGAACAATTGATGTACGTCCATGATCAATAATGATTCTTTTTTTTTTTTATTTTTTTTAGGTATGTTGTTCTTATTATTGTGTAGAGATGCAGAGGTGAAAGGTAGATGAGTGCTGAAAGACCAGTCGACCAGATTCAAACCCAAGCTGGCAGCGGTACATCGTACACGCAGGCCACATTAGATGCCAGAATATTCAGTGGTGGAAAAAGTACCCAATTGTCATACTTGAGTAAAAGTATAGATACCTTTAATAGAAAGTTACTCAAGTAAAAGTGAAAGTCACCCAGTAAAATACTACTTGAGTAAAAGTCTAATAGTATTTGGTTGTAAATATACTTAAGTATCAAAAGTAAATGTAATTGTTAAAATATACTTAAGTATCAAAAGTAAATGTAATTGTTAAAATATACTTAAGTATCAAAAGTAAAAGTATAAATCATTTCAAATTCCTTATATTAAGCAAAGCAGATGGCACCATTTTCTTGTTTTTTTTAATTTACAGATTTCATTTCATTTCATTTTAGTCATTTAGCAGACGCTCTTATCCAGAGCGACTTACAGGAGCAATTAGGGTTAAGTGCCTTGCTTAAGGGCACATCGACAGATTTTTCACCTAGTCGGCTCGGGGATTAGAACCAGCGACCTTTCGGTTACTGGCACAACGCTCTTACCCACTAAGCTACCTGCCGCCCCAGATAGCCAGGTGCACACTCCAACAATCACACATAATTTACAAAAGATGCATTTGTGTTTAGTGAGTCTGCCAGATCAGAGGCAGTAGGGATGACCACGTGTTCTCTTGATAAGTGCATGAATTTGATCTTTTTCCTGACCTGCTAAGCATTCAACATGTGATGAGTACTTTTGGGTGTCAGGGAAAATGTATGGAGTAAAAAGTACATAATTTTCTTTAGGAATGTATGTAACAGATGTTCATCGTACTCTCCTTGCGCTGTGTTTAGTTTAAAGAAATCACCCCAGCCAGTGGTCCCAGTTGATCGTTATTTATTATCTGTGACTAAATAGGAAACAGCACGTTAGTTGTGCAGGGCTTAATGATGTTGGTGGCTGTCGATGGTAAAATCTGTAGAATGAAAACAACTGTGTTAGCAGTGAGCTTATGTGACCATTACATCGGTGCATGCTAGCTAACGTTTGCAATCTCCCCCTATCTGCAAGCGGGGCCAATAACAACAGCACGCCTTATTGTCAATCGGAATTGAACCAACCAATAAGAGTGCTTGAACATTAAATACACATTTCTTTAGAGGCAAGTGGAAACATACCCAACCCTGTTACAGTCTCCCCTGCTGAATTCCACTTGCATACTATAAAGAAATAATGAAAACAAAATGAGGTATGCAATACCTTGCAATTTATATGTCACCAAATATTCCAGTGCAAAGACTATTCTCTAAAGAGAATTAGGGGAATTTAAAGACCCCGTAGGAAAACATGCCTGTTACATGTTCAGTACACTCGGTGACAATAAGAACCTCAGACAAAAACCTTGGCCTACTTGACCTCTGACCCATTACCTCCATAGGGCCTCTAAAAAGTACATTATTTTCTTTAGGAATGTATGTAACAGATGTTAATCGTACTCTACAGGCCAACTTGGATTCTAATCCTACACCCACTCAGGTGTTCTAATGAACTCTGTATGAAAAACCCTCTGTGTCTGCATAGTCTCTGAGTCTCACTGGGCGTTTCCTAACCCGACCAGCCCCTGACCTGACAGGCCTAACTGAGTTATCATTACGGTTAACCTGTTCAACTACAACCACCATTGGTGGGTCACTGCCCACAATCGGGGGATAGACAAGGTCAAGGTTTCTGTGACTGTTGCTGGAGCTGGAGCTTGTGCTACAAGCGGCATCTTCAGAATGCCTTTCTTCTTCAGAGGGTTCGGACATTTCTTCTCCAAAGGTTAGCTCTGACACGCTTGTGCCACCAGTGGCACCTTCAGAATGTGGTGAGTTCTGAGGGTCCCTCGCCAGTTGCCCATCTTCCAGCACATCTGGGGTATCTTCTTCAGAGGGCTCTGACTGTGTTTCACCAGAAGTCTGCTCTGATACCCTACACTAGTCCTCTCACACCCATGTCCATTTCTGGTATATCGTTCATGGATGAGGCCTCCATCTCCTCCATGATCCTCACTGTCTCCCGTATGAGGTGTCTCCAAGGTAGTGTCCGGGAGAGGCAAGAAGTTTACAGGCATTATCAGATTACGGTGGACTGTTTTCTCCTGGCTAGTCGACATGTTCTGTATCTTGAAGATGTGGATGTCACTATTCTTCTCCGTAACAATATAGAGGTTGTTCTCCCAACGATCAGCCAGCTTCCTCTTTCCACGTTCACCCTTATTCGCCAGCAGCACCCGATCACTAACCTCCACAGGAGCTCCTCTGATCTTCCTGTGGTAGAGACCTGCATGCCTCTTCAGCTGTTTGGTTGCTGACACCTTTACCGTCTCCATGGCCTCCCTCAGGTCTCTAGTCAGGGACTTGACGTACTCGTCATAGTCTACAACCTCGATGAGTCTTGCAGCACGGTACCAAACATCATGTCGACAGGCAGACGTGGGGTTCTCCCAAACATCAACTGGAAAGGGGCGTGGTCCATGGTTTCATGGACTGTACATTTGAAGGTCAACGACTTCAGCTTCTGGGGCCACCTGTGCTTCGCTCTCGTAGGTAAAGCCCTGATCATGTTTCCCAGCATTCTGTTGAACCTTTTGACTCCCCCCGTTCCCCATCGGATGGTAAGGAGACTTGTGCGATTTCTGGATTCCTGCAGCACTCAACAACTCAAATCAATTTACTTTCAAAGTTGGCCCCTTGGTCGGAATGGATACGACGAGGAAAACCATACACACAGAAGATGTTGTTCCACAGCTGAAGGGCCACTGCTTTAGCTGATTGGTTCGGACACAAGAAGGCATGGGCCATCTTAGTAAAATGGTCATTGACGACCAGAACATCCAAGGACTTGTTGTTGGAGTCTTCAACAGAACAGAAGTCCACACACACCAACCCGAGTGGCTCAGTCGTGATGATGTTCTCCAGTGGAGCTCTGGCCTCTGGCTCGGGGGCCTTACTGAACACACACCTCTTGCAGCTCTTGACGTATTCTCTCACATCAGACTCCAGATGGGTTGTTGTCTGTCCATACAGGAAAAGGCTTGCCCCTTAGCCAATGACTAAACTTCTCACACAGCCCAGCGTAAAGCAAAAACTCTAACCTAGGCGCAGGATAATTTCACTGTGCATAAGTAAGTGATTTGCTAGCGAATGCTGCGTGTCTGGCCGCAGACCCATCCTCTGGCACCTGGGAGAGGACAGCACCTAAGCCATTACTAGATGCATCTACAGACAGCAAGAAAGGTCTACTAAAATCAGGGTGGGCTAGCATGACCTGATCGATGAGAGCTGAAGTCCTGTTTGCACTCACCAGTCCAGTCTGCTGCTGTGAGTTTCCTACGTATTCCTTGTTTCTTCTTGCCTTTTCCATGGCGCCTTCGTCCCAGTTGTCAGCCCATGCAGCGGCTTAGCGATGGTGGAGCACCCCTCAATGAACTGCTGGTAATAGACTATCATTCAGAGAAAGGACCAAATCTTCCCCTGGGAGGGCACGTCTGTGTTATCTTCCATGAGATCCTCCTCTGTCATCCCTGCAATAGCCTTCACTTTTTCTGGGTCTGTGGCGACACCTCCTTCACTGATGACATGTCCCAAGAACCGCATTGACCTCTTCATGAAATGGCATTTCTTTGGAGCCAATTTCAGATTATGGGCTTTGAGACGCTCAAAAACGGACTCCAAGCGTTTCAATCCAAGTTCTTTAGTCGGGGCAAAAACCAGCACATCGTCCAGGTAACAGAGAAGGCTACCACATTGTAGTAGCCTGAGGTCAAATCCATCGTAGAGAAGAAGGCATTGCCACCCAAGGCCGCCAGAGCATCAGCATGATGAGGCAGAGGGTGAGCATCCTTTACGGTGCGAGCATTGAGCCATCGGAAGTCTGTACACAGTCTCAGATCACCACCAGCACGAGCGGGGAGGCATACTCACGGCTGGATTTCCTGATTATGTCTCGCTCTTCCATCTCATCCAAGGCCTGCCTGAGC